GAACATGCCAACTAATCTGCTAAAGGAATGCTGGATAAAAGCAGTGAACCTCTTTAATGTTTCACCCGTTATGCTGGGAACAGGGCACTATTTATGAAGGTATCAGACATCAGAGACAGACGCTTTTTCCAAATGAGCAAGCAGGAACTAAGACTTCTAAAGCAAAAAGACAAAAACATAGTAAATGCCTGTAACCTCCCAAGGATGAACCTGGGCCAAGGTGAGTCTTAGCTGCAAAAGCAGATGGACCTTGTACAACGCCTCTGAGGTCCCTAGAGAAGGATGCAAAGTGGCTGGAGGCCAGGGCCGGGGTCGAAAGCTTGGATAAGGATATTCTGATTCGTGAAATCTCTTTTTCTGTGAGAAAGTTGGAGCTGATACTTGAATTAGAACAGGTAATGTTTTCACAAGCTTGAAGTAAAGCTACTTCCTTTACCTTTTCCAATTAGGTAGAGGAAAATACTGGATTACTTTTAAGTGGAAACAGATGACTGACTGTACCATGTGATATTAACTTCTTAAAATTCTCAGTGACTGGAAGTATCCCAGGATAAAAATCCTGTTGGATTATGTTAACCACTGGTTTGAAGACCACGGGTAAGATATGTCAGAGCTACACGAGGGAAGGCTGCTTTGCCTCTACTGGTGCAAAAGATGGCCCTTCACAAGCTCGCGGTGACTTGACTTGCTCGTATTAAAATCATGCACTCTTATAACTGCAGACAGAAAGGAATTTCAGGGAGTTATTTAACTCAAACAGCCTTATTTTATAAACTTGAAGACAAAGAGAGAGAGAGGGAAAGAGAGAGAGAGACAGACAGACAGACAGACAGACAGAGGGAATAAACTGTGCGTTCTCTGATGCTCAGGGGCTTTCTCCAGCAAGTAAAGCTCAGAGGAGTTCAAGATATTCAGAAATGTTTTATTTGTATTTTTTTGTCATGCAAATTTTCTTTATGAAGGTGTTAGATATCAGAGGCAGATACTTTTTCCAAATGAGCAAGCAGGAAGTAAGGCTTCCAAAGAGCAAAAAACCAAAAATATAGTAAATGCCTGTAACCTCCCAAGGATGAATCTGGGCCAACAAGGTGAGTCTTAGCTGCAAAAGCAGACGAACCTTGTAGGAAGCCTCCCAGCCATTTTTTTTTTTTTTTTTCAGATACAAGTATTACACCTGCATTAAGACACCCTCACTAATATAAGGTATGTTGGTTTTTAGTGGTAGGGTCAAAGGCAATGAAATAATGTCTTGTAATACAAGGAATTTTGCTGCTGTTGAAATCTGGGGGCTAGCCCTAGACTCTGGGAGAATAAGACACACAGAGTCTATGTATGTCATGAGAGAGCTGGCCTGGCTCTTGAGGGCTCTCCAAGCCAGAACCAGTCTGCACTGTTATAATAACTCATCTTCTTTCTTTATGATGCTAATTAGGTCTTACCCAATTCAATATGCAACACTTGTATAAGAGGACAACCATTCTGACTGTTTAGCATAAAACAGATGTTTACCCAACATCTTGAATTTAGTTTCCTGTAGGACAATTAACTTTCATTAGAAGATATGTAACTGGCTTGTTGACTCATATACTGAAATAAATGTAATCTCTATCCTACCATGCAGAGAAGTACTAGCACAAAAAGGGTGCGCTGACATACTCTTGGTCTTCTAAGAACCCACATTTAGGATTTCTGAGATAGATGTCAAGATGGCTAATATCCATAGTTTTGGTAAAAACATATTTAGTGTCCAATCTCAGAAATTCTGCTGATTCTGGAGAACATGCCCATGAGAACACAGTTTTACAAACAGTAACTTATTTGATAAATACTTTATAAGGAGGATAAACTACAAGTGGCTAGGAATTTCTCCAGCTGGAAAGCCCCTACCCATGTATAAGTGTCTTCCACTTCCCGTAGCTCTTTAGTGAAAGTTGTTTCTCTGTCTATCTCCCTTTCTCCCTCTAGTTCCCACGCTATTCCCAGGCTGAGATGTTAAAGGAAGATGTAACTTCAGGTTCTCACTTCTCCAGAAGCACTGCTCTCTGAGAATATCCATGTAGTCACATGAATGGAGACGCCCTTTTGCACTGTTTGTTTTATTCTGGAATGTCTCTCTTAACCTGCCCTTCATCTATCCACACACATCCACTTATGTATCCAGCTTGCATCTACTGACTGAAAACTTCTTTCAGGTACTAGCGTCTTCTTCTAAGGATTTTCTAGTGATCTGTTTCAGTGTTATATTTTTATGTGTCCCCAAAGACAGTGCAAGTTGCCCAAGAAGCAATTAATACATGTAATTTATGAGATTTTTTTGGACAAAGTCTAATAAAAATTTGATTGAAAATCATGTCACAGTTTTGTTGCTGGTATCAATAAAATCTCTACCGTTTGTGGAATAAGCATAAGTTCTGAAGTAGTCAACTTTGTTTGCAATCATAGATCATCAAATCTTATACTACCATCTATTTTTAAGATTCAGTCCAATTTTTGAGATGTTAAAATGTAAAAAAAGTCCAGTAATAAATTTTGTAATGCAATTTATTATAAGATAAATGTAGGATCCTGAGATGGTAAGATGTAAAAACAAAATTACTACATATAAAAACTGATTAAATAGGTTGAGGCCTAAATAATTCTTTGCATGTTTTCTTTACTTATGGTGAAGTAACTAATACCAGTAGCAATATAAACAACAAATAATAAGTAATCAAAATACCATAATAGCCACTGTTTATCTAGTGCCTACATTATGCTGAGCAATGTGATTTTTCTCAGTCCTTGGAACAGCCCTCTGAGGAAGATTCTATTATCTTCATTGTATAAATGACAAAACTGAGGTTCAAAGGACCTTTTCTTTGTTTTCTTTCTTTCTTTCTTTCTTTCTTTCTTTCTTTCTTTCTTTCTTTCAAAGAATGGATTCAAGACCACTAGTAACTGGAAGGGCTAGGATTAAAATCCAGAAAGCTGAGCTAGGGACCAATGTTATTTATGATTGCATTCACGCAACTTCTCATCCTCCAAAGGCCACACTCTCAAATGACATGCGTCCTCTGTGGCCCTTGTTCAGGAATCACATTAGCTGCCTGTTGCCTGTCCGTAGAGCTCTGGGTTGGCAGTGCTTTTCAAGATTAGTGTTTGGAGAGCACCCAGAGGTGCCTGCTAATCAAATTTTCTTTTTTTCTTTCATCTGCAATCACAGCACTTTGAGATCTTGTACTTCCTTCTGCCCCACTACAGTGAAGACAGCAAAGTCACGAGGGAATATTTATCCTTTTTAAAGTACATTGCAGTGGAAAACAACAACAATACCTTACCAGCATGCCTATCACTGCTTACAACCATTCATGGGAACTGGTGAACCTTTTTTTCAAAAAGCACTCTTTAATTAGGTAAGGGCAAGGGTAAGGGAAGGGTAAGGGAGGGTAACAAAGGAGATGGACAAGAAACGGAACATTATATGCATATATGAAAACATCTGTGTAGCCTAATATTCAGCATAATTCATATGTACTAATAAAAATAACATGAATAAAATAAAGATTACAAAGTTTTTCCATTTCAAAAATGCTCTTTAAAAGTCTGTATCAGGAAACATTTAAAAAGAAAATAAGCACAGTGTAGGCAAAGGTGCTCTTGACAATGCCCTGTGTAATGATGTAGCTTATTTCCACAGAAGAACATCCTGACTTGAAGTCACCTGAATGACTCAGAAACAGATAGAGCTGCAGGCAAGCTGCTGAGTGTCACAGAGCCCAGTGACTGCTGCAGGATCTGCCCACAGGAGAGCAGGCCCAGAAACTGGAACCTCAGTGCTGAAACAACGCAGCCCAAGCCACACAGGCAGTGTTTTGAATCAACATGGCCCTGTATCACCTGCCAGGTCTCTCAAGGGAGGTGAGGCAGGTCTGTTCAAGGACACCCCATGCTCCCCGAGTTTCTCTGAGGCATTCACCTTCATGTTCCCTCTGGCTAGTTCCACTAGGTACAATCAGGCAATGATATAATTGCATCCTCTGAGACTTCAAGTATCAAGAAGAGGAAAATCAATTCTTACCACTGGAAGATCTATCACTCCCAGAGACCACTAAAAACTGCTGGCCATCCTGTGGAGTCTTTAAAGGTAATTTTTACAAGAGAAAGACACAAATTGGGAGTCAAGTGGAGCCCATTCCTTAAGAATGTATATGAGGGGCACAGGGCAACTAAAACAAACCTAGAAGAATTTTCCTCAGCATTATCCTTGCCAGAGGTATTTACTGAAGAAACAAAACCAAGACACACTCAAGTGCGTGCTTGATGTAAGAAAACTTGCATGTGCTGAATCCATTAGAGAACTATTCACTAACAGTCTTCCTTGTGAAAATATTAGCCTTGTAAAGGTTCCAAGACCAGCATCTTTGCAGGTTATCTGGTATATAAGTGGCAGGGTGGATATAGGGTGGCTGGACGGGATTCTCAAAGTTAATGGGCTTCCACATTTTCCACTTGGGTAGGAATGCTTTCCTAAGAGTGCTGGGGAATGGCCCCCTCACTGCTGAATTTTAGGTCATAAAAATGCTTATCGGCTTACGATGTCCTAGAGACTGACACTAGAAAGAGACAACCCAGCCAGTCCCAGAAAGGGCACTGTCTTTTGCTCCAGTTCAACAGCTTTAAAATTACCAGAAACCTGTTGTAAGAGTTGAATAAAGAAACAAGCATATATACTTGCTCAAGAAAAAGAATGCCAAATGCTGAACTCATTTACTTAGTCTCCAAATGGCCCTGCAGTCCCTTACGCCTCTCCTTTGATAGACTTTCTTACAAGTTCAGGCAGCTTTTCCACCAATATTTCTACAAGTCCTCATTAGGCTTTAATTAAGATGTGTTACAGTGAGTATCATTGTTTATAAAATATTGGATTTCATTTGATGGCTTTTTGAAAGTGCATTATGACGACCTAATAGGAAGAGTCGATTATATAACACACATAGGTAAAATACTTAACAATTCCATACCTGGCCATAGCAACCTGCATAGTGAATAAGGCTTGGAAAATCCTTAGAGCAACTCAGCTCTGCAATGGCTTCAGTTTCACTCACCATCCAACGTACACATTCCAACTGGCCATTCTAGATTTACGAAAAGAAGAGAAAGAAATTCAAGGGAATGTGGTTCAGTCTAACTAAATCAGATTATCATTTTCCGTATTGTATCAGTACCAAATTTGGTCTGTTGATTTTTTCGATTATTTATGTTATTCTTTATCTCATTTATTTCCATTCTAATTTTTACTATTTTATTCCTGCTATTTGCTTTGGATTTCATTTAGTCTTCTTTTTCTAGACTCCCAAGGGAGGTTAGGTAATTGATTTGACATCTTTGTCTTTCCCTTTCCTCCTTTCTATATTAGAAGCACAGCTCCAAGCACAGCTCTGGCCACATCTCGCAAGTGTGGGTATGTTGTATTTTTATTCCTCTGCAAGTGCTTTCTAACTTCCTGTCTTATTTTTTTTCTCTGACATTTGTTTGTATTAGAAAGTGTTAATTTCACATACTATGAGTATTCTAAATCTCCCTGCTAATGACTTCTAATTCTACTGTGAATGAAGGACATGCATTTGTATTTCAATCCTTTTAAGTTTACTGAGATTTGTTTTGTACTCTAACACATTATCTGTCCTCATGTGCTCCAGGTGCACTTGAAAATGTATTTTCTACAATTGCTGGTTATGCTTTCAGAAGAATATTAGATGTAGTTGTTGAGATAATATTTAAATAAAAAGCTGTTAAAAACACAGGAAATTTTATACTGCTAGCACTAGTACAAAACCAGTACCACTTGCCATTAATATAATTACCAAGAAAACACACAGAAAACAAATCAGTAAATTCTCGCAGGAGTTTTCCTGCCAAAGTCTATAGTCATGGGCTCACTTATTACATACTAAAAAGGAATATTATTAAGTTTATGTATTTTAAGTCATGTTATCATCAGACTAACCATTTACCTTTGGGCTTAATCAAACAACTGAGAAATGAAGTAAGAATTAAAAGTTATTTCACTGCAAGTCTGTTTAGCTACAAAATGATTTCTTTTGCTAATCTCATTCTGGAAAACAGACTGCTTTAGAAAGTGGGTATTTTAGGAATGTTTCTTTTCAATTTGTTTGCTTAAGGGTGCTCAATAACATCCTGGATTCCCAAAGTATCTATTTCTGAGCCCCTAGGAGACATGTTATAAATTCTGCGTGTAACTGACACTACTTACTGCTTTCCATTTCAAGGGTTTATGAGTGGGAGAGAGATGTTCTTAGGCTCTGGTATGACTTTACAGTTCCTCTTCTCAGGTAGTCTTACGTGATACCTGAGCTCTGACTCTGTTTCATGTCAGCCAAGTCACTTTCCCAGGAAACCTTTTCATGTTTGCATGTGTGTTTGTCTTTAATACATCAGGGTTCTCAGAACACTGTTTAATGAGGTGAAACACCACTAGTTGGTTACTGGTGCTCAAAACAAGGTCTTACAATGGAATACTGATGTCTCCTTAAAATGCTTACAGCTTCTCCCTATCAAGTATGCTGAATGGGCTGAAATAGTATGGATCAGAATAGATTTTTAAAGGGAGTGGTACTTGTTACAAAGTATTTGTACTTACTGCTTTTATAAATTCTAGATTAAATGATGGAACAGAAGGGCCCTTCTGTTTCTCAAATTACTGTTCAGAAGCAAAGTAGAAGCCCGAGATACCAAACCTTTAAAGCTTTTGAGTCTCATGGGTTTGATATGTGTTTTACATGCAAACAATTTCTTAAAAATGATATTTAAGCTTGAAGACTTGTAGAATTGTGGCAATACTGTCTGTGGACTGCAGGAATTTTGGTTTGAATTCATACCTACATACAGATAGAATAAAATGTGTTATTCTGAGTGTTGTCTTAATGGCCACTATGTTTATGTAACATCCTACTCAGAGATTTTTAGTCTAGCAAAACAGGCATTGGATAGGTCATATGAAAAAATGCTTTCACCCAACTACTACATAGTAAGGAGCTAGTCAATAATCTACCATTAGTCATAAAAACCAATGTGAGCTGTTTTACAATACAAATAAAATATCAGTGCAAATGTCATGTTCACTGTCATTGTAAGGCTATCTCATTTGTCACTGACTTATGTTCCCTGATGACCACACCCTATCCTTGTCTTCCCATAGGACTCTAACACAGGACTGGATCCTGAGTCTGTCTTCCTACACTGGGACTACTGGTAACAGGCCTCTCTCTTCCACAGGTTATCATCTCCTTAAGAAAAAGCACTATGTCTTACTCAAATGCCTACTTGGCAGGACCTAACACGGTCCCAGGTGGATTTGGTACACACTGTTGAGCTCCACTGTACTAACCTTCCCTTTGCATTTGATTTCTCTCTCTTCATAATAGTTGTTGCAGTTCAGCTCTTAATGTGACATAACACCATTTATAACCAGAGGAAAATAGTATCTACCAGGGCTACAGATTTATTATTTTATAAAAAGAATATTTTCCATACTAGTTTTGAATTCATACTTTACTACTGACCAAAATTAAATAAGATAGAATAATTTTTTTAATACACAAAACTTTACTGAAGAGTAAACAAACCAAAGATATACAAATTCACCTTTGCATAAAACATATGTTAAGAATAACTGTTTTTTTTTAATGTAATATGTTCTGTGAATTCACAATAGGTTTGTTTAGTAAGTTCCCCTAGTCACTACCAATATAAATCCATTTATAAAAAATTATGAATATTCAGCTTTTGGAAGATAAAACTATTATACAAAGCCAAGGATATATAGAAGTGCAAGACACATTATATCTCTGAACATCACTGCAGTTTTTTAATTAACATGACATTTTACATTTATTTTCCAAAGATCCTGAAGTAATTTTGGCTTGTCACCTAACCTTCCAGAAATGCATTACATTTTACAGAGGAACTCAGTGCCATGCTCTAAATGCAATTTGTACTAAGTTGTGTGGTTTTGACAGTGCATTGTTCTCTGTAAGAGCTAAATGCCAAATCCACACTGATATTCTAAACAGCGCTTCTAAAGACACTTAAACTTCGGACCTGATCCACTAAAAGCCCACTTTATTATCTGAAATACTCCCCACATGCCATTATCCCTTAAAACATACTTCATTGTCATTTGTCTTACTCATTATTCTCATGTTAGGAAAAAGGTGACACAGTCTCAGACAGATCATGTAAACTGCGATTGTGAGCAACAGCACCACACCACATTGTTGCCCCTTCTTGTACTGGTTTCTTTTGAGCTCACTTTCATTGGACAATAAAATGGAATGCATTCTCAAAATCTCAAAGCGGTCAGTGACCTAAGTGATTCACCTCTTACATGTAAGACGTTCATCTGCTGTTTGCTTGATAAATCACCCTCCATTACTCCCTTCCAACACTGCAGCTCACAAGCAATCCTAAGAGATAGAATCTAATGCTGGACCCTGCTCACTCACCTTGATGGCCAGGCCTGCTGGGGTCAGCTTCTCCACGTTACGCTCATTGAGACAATCTTCCCCCATCAGAGAGGTGAGGTGCTGCAGACATTCTGCGTGGCCTTGTGACGCAGCAACATGTAGCAGATTGTTCCCACTGTCATCATGGATTTTGTCTAGATTGTCTGCAGCTAGGTGTGGCTGTACAAATAGTAAAATCAGAAAATGTAAGTCAATAAATTAGAACAAGACACTGGGGGCGGGGGGGGGGTGACCTGGGCCATGGGAAGAAGAGACGGGCTCACAGAAACTCTGGTGGCAAGTGAGAACCCCAGCTCTGTTCTGTAATTCTACACTTTAGAGCACCATTTCTCAACAGACAGCTCCCCATGAGGAGCAGGGCTGGGGCCGATGAATGGTGGAGACTTCTAGCTGGCTTCCTAAACTGCAGTGACACGGACAGCAACAGGAAGGGTTGCTGTCTGCCTCCTCCACTGACTGCTGAGTCTTTGAGGGATGGGCATGTTCTATTTCCTGTTGTAGGCTAAAGAATGAACAAAATACTTGTCTGGACCTGCTTACGTGGTGCAGAATTGTCCAGAATTGGCTCTGACTACCAACTTCATGACTGCAGCTCTTAGTGCTCTCACAGGTATCTCTAGATACTGTCACCTCCAACAGCTCCTGGGAACATCTGGCTTTGTCTTTTCTCAATTCTAGTGAAATGTAGTGTCCTGAAGATGAAATTGTTGAGTCTACTGTGTGAAATATTAGCATTTGGGAAATATAAAAACATGGAAAAAACAGAAGAAAGAATACATAACAATGAGAAGAACAAGGAAAATATGGAAAAGACATTTTCAGGAGAAAAATTTTTATTACTTATATTTGGTAAAATTGTTTAAACACACTGCCCTATAACAACATTTGTGATTATAGATCAAAAGCACTGCACTTTATCTATGTGTGGTTTCACACTAAGCACAGTCACATTGCCAATATGCAGTGATTTTCTTGAATGAGAGTTTAATTAGCATCGTAGTATGAGCCCAGTCTTGCTACTGTTTGATTCACGTCTGGAAGCCAGAAAACAACAATGCAGGCAGATGGAGTGCTATTTTGGTAAAGTGCTCTCTATGCCTAAGCAGAACAGACTTTTCTTACATCATGTTATTCAGTGTCCAGGGTTTCTGGAAATGCTTCTTCGTGTTCCTTACACATGGAAAGCTGGAACCAAGTAAAAACTGCATGGGGGTGACAGGGCAGTCGTCTCTAGGGTAAGCTTCTATTTGCAAATGTTTTTTGAATCTTCTGGTCCAACTTTTTTGAATATTGATCAGGATAAAATAGAAGACCCTCTGTTCACATGTCTGGTAGGATGTGTCATCAGCAAAGCGCTGACACCCAGAAATAAATGAGCAAAAGCACTGTGAATCATTTTAAAAGCAGGAAGAATGTTATTAACATGCAAGGCAAAGTACCGAGTTCTCTCTTATTGTGTTTTCATTTTAGGTAAAATGTTTTTATTCTGGTTGAATTCATGCAAAGTTAAAATGAACTAATACAACTTCCATTGCCATTTGTTTTTCCTCTATTAACCTTTGAACTTCCCCTATGGCCACTTGCTTTTCCTGTATTAATCTCATAATTTTTCCTTTCAAAACTGAAAAGGTCACATATCCCAGCTACAGACATACGTAAACATTAAGCAAAAAGCAGAACAAGTGCACCTTTGTTCTGTGAAGAAGCTGATAAAAATTGAATCTTCAGGTTATTAATACATATAATGAACTACAACATACTCACCAAGAGAGATATTTGTCCTTCTTTAACGATGTTCAAGATGCTTTTTACTTTTTTCAGATGCTCGTTCCTTTCTTCTGGGCCTTGGGAGCTGGTCCAGGCTGTGCCACTGACCTGCTCCTCCAGGTTGGGTTCTGACGCTGAGGACTGCGAGTGGAAGGCCCTGAGGTGGCAGTCGGGAGCTGTCTTCTCCATTTTTCGATCATGTGGATCACTAAAGGCCTTGTTTAAGAAGCCTTTATTCTGGTTTTCAGGTGCATAGGCCGGGACACATTTACCAGAAGGAGGCGAATTCTCAGCTGCCTCGGTGAGTAACTTGTGTGGGTCACGGAAGACAGCTGGTGCCTTCCTCGAGGGCGGGCTTTTCACAGGGGAAAGAATACAGAACGGCGTCATGGTGGAAGGAGAGTTCTCCGAGCTTCCTGGAGAGCAGGCTTTGCCAGGAAGGCCATTGAGGGTTGTACACAGACCCAAAATCCTTTTTTCTGAAGGTGCCTTGGTAAAAGAGGCCAGCTGTTGACTGGATTTAATGTAAGGCACATCCAGTATCTCATCCATGTCGAGGTCATAATGTTCCAGTTCTCCCAGGGCACTGCTGGGTTCAGAGCTTTTGCCTGGCACGCTGCCCCCTCCATCTTCGGGGCTGAGCTCCTCAGCCTGGGGGCCCTGGTCAGACTCACCCCCTTTCTGGTACTCTCCCTTATGGTTCTTTTGATCATCACTTTCATTATTCTCCAGAGTCTCTGGCTGATGTTTCAGTGGGGAAACCCGCTTCACTGGGCGGAACTTACTGTACACATCAGCGATTCCTGTGGGCTTCTGTGTGTTTGTCAGAAGAGTGGAGATGCCACAGTTCCAGCCAGAACTGGAAACTGTGTTTTAAAAAATGGAAAGAAAAGACTGTTAAAACAGAATGCTGAACACATCTTGGGCATGCAGGCACACATGATCCACTCAAGTTATGCTCAAATTAAGCCCCTGTGTAAGGGAATGTCTTAAAGGGGACACATGTCTACAGCATAAAGGATTCAGACTTATGACTAAAAACAGTGAACACTAAAACAGAGTCATGATATATAGACCACAAAGTAGCAGTAATGGTAAAAAGACAGTGCTAAAGAAAACAAACTCAGATAGCTGAGACTCACTCATTGGATAGATCTATCTCTGACAATATTTCAATAGTTGCTACTACCTAAAAAAATAGGACTAGAGGACAGAATGCTCTATTAAACTTCTAACCTAAATTAGGGAGGAGTTGGATATATGTATACATATGCACAACCAAGGTCATATAAACCTACACTCGCACACCTCTTTGCTTAAGATGACCCATGTAAAGAAAGGGTAAGTTATTTAATGTTATACAAACTCCTGTGATTTGAGCAACTATTTTCAAGATGATAATATGTAATCTACTAACAGGTGATTTCTTACTGTTATGTTTTTGTTTTGTTTTGTTTGTAGTTCTGTATTACGTGTACCCTTACACCGCTTTGTTTTGTTTTGTGTTTTTCTCTTTTTCCTCTTAAATAAAAAAAAATAATGTTATACAAACTCAAACTGTGACCTACTGGGTGACTCAGTAGCTTTCCATTTAGTGGTTAAGGAAAAAGCATTATGGAATGAATTGGTGAGGAGTTGAGAGGATCAGCAAAGACCAGTCACGGTGGACTCAACCCCAGCCCAGGTCCAGCACCCCAGCCAATGCCCAGGAGGAATGCAGCACAGTGCTCCCTGGCATATGACACAGCAATGCGGCGTGCCGGGGCTTTACACCAGAGCATGTGTTTTAAGATTTAATGCTACTGATATTCTTGGAAAGGCTAGAAAACAGACAGCAGGAAGAAAAATTTATAGAGGATGAGGTAGGCAAACTACATTTTTTCATTTCAGTACAAAGTTCAAGGAAAGACTGTAGTGTCTTCTTGAAATGGAGGAAAACAATCTCTCACATGGGAGGTGAGCGATGAGAAGGGCAGAGTGAGGCTCTGTGAGGTTGCCTGATTCCCTCTTGGGGCAGGGAGGTAGAGGAGCCACCCTGTCCCTGTGTGCAATTGTGCCGCTTCCCCTCTGGGATACTCCTCCCTGGACAAAGGATGACCCAACATCCCAGGAAGTGTGCAGGCCAGGCATCTATAGGTTGCTACTCTCCTGATGTTAGTCTACACCTTCCCCAACAAAGAGGAGATCCAACTTCCGGTGGGGAAGAGTTTACGCTTGTGTGTTTTTGCCATGGAGCACAGCCAAGGAATCAAAGAATTGGAGACAGGTGAGTATTATCAGGACTGTAGCTTTAATGACAGCCCACGGGCCAGACAAAATGAGTAAGAGAGAATATTCTGAACCCCTCTGCTATGTAACTGAGTTCTGTCCCTAAAGGTGACAATTTGGAGAGCTATTTCAGATAGCCTGCAATTTGCAGTCCACTCCTAAGGCCTTTCTGGCATTGGCATTCTAGATCTGAAGAACAAAAGCAAGAGGAAATGTGAAGAGAGAACTGGTTTTTCTCCAGGAAGTAATGTATAGCAGACAATGTCCAGAAGGGAAGGCTGGTCTCTAGATGCCTGAGACAGCTGCTTCTCTCCCCTTGTCTTGGTTTGGATACAGTGCTTGGCCTAGAGCAGACAATTAACAGATGCAAGTATGTTAATTTGAACCTCACTCTGTACAATTCATTAGGGTCTTCAAAAATGCATGCAGTACATCCTCCTGAGTGATTTATAGCTTAATCTCACAGAGGACAGAAGTCCAGCTAATAAACTCAGAGGAGTGATGATCGCCAGTAAAAGCTAGATTTTCTGAAGTTATTTATGGCATTTAAATATGCAAAGGCACAGATGAGCTCCAGTGAGCCTTCTATAAAGTTAGAAGTTTTCTATCTTTTATATGCCCTTTCTCTCTAAAAATGTAAAACTATGAGAAATTAATGTTAGCCAGAAATTTATGCCAAGCCATTTTCTCTTCCTTAAGAACACATGGTTACTTACTTATATAAAACAGAAGACAGGGGACATAGAGTTTACAACGTATAATATGCTTTTAGTTCTACTCATCATCCCCTTGAAAAACTTTCAGTATAGTAGGAAAATATATACTAAACACATTTCTGGGATATATACTTATTATTAGGCATGGTATTTGCTAATATTTTGCCAATTATCTTGATTTCTTTGGACCTTCTAAAAATATGCACCTCAAAATATATTAAAAAATGTAAAGCCACATGACTTAGTAGGTCAATACAATGAGTGCATTGTACCAACATATTTATGTATTGTGTAAGGTCATGGGTTCAAAGGGCTACTCTTTTATGTTGGCTTTATTTACATGGGAAATTTTTTCCAAGTGATACAGGGAAATGGATACCATATGTTTCCCAGCTGTTTTGTTCTGACAGGAGCCATTAAGAGCGCTCTGTGGAAATGGATTCTGTCTGAATCTTATGAAAACACTTCTTTCCACAAAAGGGTCTAGAAACTGGAGAACAAGCATCAACATTTAGACTCACTGTCCTTTCTCTCATTCATATCTGACTTTTTGGGAGGTGGAGTGAATTCTGTGTTTTCTAGTCTGTATCCTCAGAGGAAAAAAAATTCAGTCACGAAAAATGACTTTATTTAACAGGTTTTCATGCAAATGCTCTAATATATTGCTACATCATATATTTGGGTGAGAAGAAAGGCAGTTTTATGTATGTGCAAAAGACAAAAGTCAATTAGCTAATTTATCTAAGTGAGATAAATTGGTCCTTACACACAGGACAAGGGAAAGGGTTACTAATGATTGGCAAGATTTTTACTTTCAATTCCTTGAGTGTACCAGTTATACGATTCCTCTACCCCGACACTATCATAGATTTCTTATCCTTGGAAACAAATTTCAGAGTAACTACAGTTACCAAAAATATTTTTGAGGTTAAATTTGCTTTTGGGAAATTATGAGTAAATTCTTAACATACTAACAAAATTTAAATCCCTGAGAATTTTATCTTTGACTTTTACAAGCTGCAGGAGAACAGGGTCTGTGTCTAATCTATCTCTCTGTCCCTCAAAGCATCCAGCAAATTGCTTTACCTAAGTAGGTTCTTTATGACTTTTTGGTTGAATGGGTTCATTTGTAACATCTTATGGAAGTAAACGTATGTCTAATACACCTTAAACCTGTCTACCTATATGGCACAAATTTTCTAAACTGGCTAAAAGGTAACCAGATGTGTGTATTTAATGCTGATTTACAGGCCATAATAATCTCTTCTAATCTAGCTGGCACTTGAAATTCCTCTACGTATCAACAAGGGATTTTCAATGGCCTCCTCCGATCTTTCCGTGAGTGCTGCCAACAGGCATCACTGCGGGCCTACGGTGTGCAAGCGCTCAAAGGGTGGCATGTTCCAACCCCAAGGCCTCGTCTCTGCACACTCGTTTGTTCTTCCCCTCCTGTGTGCGTGTGTGTGTGCACACCCTTTCCCCTTCCCCAGGTTCCCCTAGACGTGGCCCGGGTAACAGGATAACAGGATGACTCTTCATCCAGTCTCTCAATACCGATCTCCAGTGCACTGACGATCCACTTTCTCTCTTGCCTCCTATGCCCAGACACCACCTTAAAGCTTGAGTCCTGAGCCCCTCTTAAATCTCGATTTTCTTCATCTTCACTGCACTGACTGGGCCTCTCTCGTACCCTTCGCAGAATTTCCCTGTGTGGACTGGTCTCCCTTTCTGATTCTGAGTCACCCAAAACCTCGGAGGACCTGATGCTTCCTGGAACAGTGTTTCCCTGTGTGGTACGTGCGCAGCCCTGGGGTGTCTACATGGGACCATACAAAGTACCCCTGATTCCAGAGTGAGAATGTGGTTCACCTTTCAGTCTCTTTCTTCCTCCTAATTCATTTTAAGGAGTCTGTTTAGTGCTAGAAGAATTTTGTTTCCCTTCAAAACTTAAAAATCTCCCTTTAGAAAAAAAGACTGCAGGCCTCAGGCTCAGCAGCTTCCACAAAGAATGAATGGGAATGTTTCATGTTCCTCACATTCATTTTAATTATGACCTTAAATTCACTGCAAGTAGCATGGGTTTCTATTTAGAACAGTGACATAGTTTCTTTTAAAAAAGATATGTTCAAAAGTAAAATGTTCTAGAAAAATGTTAAGTAATAGTATTAATGGTATACAGGTAGAGCAAAAATAGCAAAGGTAGACCTTGGGCAAAATAAACATATTGTGAAAATGATACTTAAATTGTTAGGTTTGGGAGATCCTGCCTTCCAGTTACTAGCTAAACTCTGGCGCTGTATGTGACTGTTCTTTCATTCATTTACTAATTTATCTTCTCATTTCAGCACTTCTGTTTCTTACCCCTCCATCGCTAAGTCTGCCCTTTCTGGATATACTGTGCTCTTTCTTTACGATTCCTGCTCTCTTTCTCTCCTGCAGCCCTTGCTGCCTCTGCTGCCTGATTCCACCACACATTACCCAACTGATGCACTTCACCCACCCCCATGGCAGAGCTGCTCCTGCTTGGCAGGGCCCAACAATACTCCTATACACCTGGAGCTGGGGAGTTCTAAAGCTGACACAGCTATTTACTGGTGCCTCATCTTTTCTCCTAAGAATTCCTTCAGGGCACATACTGCTAAAGAATCTATTAGTGTTTGATACCACCTGGTTGTCTAGCACAGTGCGTTGAAGACAGCAGGGCTTACTTGCAAGACTTTACATGAGTGGATGCATGAAGAGAGAAAGGAGGGAAAGGAGTGTAGCTCATAAAAGGCTCAAAATGAAGTTTGAGATCCATCAACATACGTCTGTCTTGCCATACTGTGAGCATGCTGTGCTGAGTATTTCAAAGACAGCATCTGAAGCTATTGAAGATGCTG